TTGGTGTTAGAATGTGTTGGTAGATTTTTTTCTAATGGTCTAATTGAATTGTATTGATTTCTGATATTGCTGGATTTTTCCATCTTTGACCATGAAGTGTTTGAAAACATTGCTCTGAGGTCACCCACAGGCGAAGATTGTGAACGGGACACTCTTCCTTTGCTCTGAAACCTGTAATTCATGGAGCTCTGCTGTCTCCTCAGCTACAACACAACTGCGAACCCCTTCGCTCTTAAAGACGACTGACCGCTTCTTCAGTCCAGTCATAGTTATCACCTCCTCAGTGCATCTGGGAGTTTTGTTTGAAAATAATTCTTTTCTATGTCAGAGTGTGGCGGAGCAGTTATTATATAATGACATACGCAGGAGGTGGGGGGCAGGAGAAGCAGGATTACAGGCCAGCCTGGGCTACATGAGACCCTTCTTCAACTACCCAAAATCAATAATATTTTCCTCTAATTTTTATATTTCATCAGTGTACATTTCACATGTTTTCTCACATAATTTACTCTTTAAAATATCTTTGGTTGTAGTTTTTTTTTCATTGTAATATGTGTTTTTTTACTTCAGGCAAAGCTAAAGTATTTAATTGAAATTTTCAAAGAAGATAATAGTTTTAAATAAAACTAAAATTTATTAATGCTAGATACTAAATAGCTTATTTCTTTTCATTCTCTATTTTAATAATAAACATTTTAAGAATAAATTTTTAGTAGCTTTGCCAACTTAATATGCTTTGTTCCTTTTACTAATTTTAAAGGTAATTTTGGTAGAGAGATACAGTGGGAATTGATTTTGATTTTGATGTTATAGAGCACTGTTCATACCACTCTGTTTTTGAAATTCATTGATTATTTGTGGTTAAATGCATCATTACTTTCTGTAAATAATGATTATAAGCTGTCATAGTTTTAGTTGTAAACTTGACAGAAACCTATTGATTATTTGTGGTTTAGTTGTCAACTTGACACAAACAAATTGATTATTTGTGGTTAAGTACATCATTGCTTTTTATCAATAATGATTATAAGCTGTCATAGTTAGTTGTCAACTTGACCCAAACGTAGAGTCACCTGGGAAGAGGAACCTCACTGAAGAATTATCTTGATGAGATTGATCTAGGGCCTTGTCTCTAGGGCATTTTCTCAATTGCTAATTGATATAGTGGGCCCACCCCACTGTGGGTGGTGCCATTAGCCTGGGCTGAATTAAAAGGTAGCTGAGGGGCTAGCTATTAAGAATATTTAACTGCTCTTACAGAGAGCCCAGCTTTGTTTCCCAGGACCCACATGACAAGCTCACAACCCTCTGTAACTCCAGTTCCAGGGCATCCAATTCCTTCTTCCGACCTCCTCAGGCACCAGGCACACATATGGACCACAGACATACATGCAGGCAAAACATTAATATACATAAAAACAAATTTTTCAAAAGGTTGCTAAACATGAGCCTTTGGACAAGCCAGTCAGCATCATTCCTCCTTGGTCTGTACTTCATGTCCTACTTGATTTTGAGTTCCTTCCTTGACTTGCCTCAGTGATGGATTGTGACCTGAAAGTATAATCCAAATAAACACTTTGACCTCCGAGTTTCTCTCAGTCAAAATGTGTCACAACAACTGGAGCAACTAGAACCTAAGCGAAGTATGTTTTCTGTCGAGTGGAAAGGTCTTGTGCGCTTTTGTTTTGTTTTTATTTTATTTGTTTGAGATAGGTTCTCACTGCCTATCCCTGGGCATCCCTGACTGACTTGGTACTCACCGTGTATGTAGACCAGTGAGGCTCAAACTCAGATCTGCCTGCCTCTGTCTCTGTTAGGGATTAAAGACATACGCCATCATACCTGACTACTTAAGCAGCTTAGTAATACATAAATTGAGTTGGTTGTGTTATGGAAATAGTCAATGGCCTTCCTAAGAGGGTATTATTTGATCTACATAAATCTGACAAATTTAGAAATTTTAGTAAAATCCCCCATTGTAACTGGTTTTACCAATTTTTCTTGGATTTAAAGTCACTTCAGTTGTGTTGGTGCTAATAGCCTAGTAGGAATTTTTCTGGTTTTATATATTTTGATTATATGTACATGTTCATATATATACAGGTGTTCTTACACGTGTATGCATATGTATAGGGGCCAAATACATATACATATATGTATGTATATATGTTATTTTTTTTAACTCTCTCATATAAGGCTTTAGCAATATTCTGTTTTAATGTCATCATTTGATGGTGATGATGATTTTGCAGTACTGTGGATCACAGCCCAGTTTGTACATACTAAGCAAGTGCTCCACCCTAGTCATTTGATATTATTTTGATATGCACTTCTCAACCTGTAAATGCTTGGTTTACCTTGCCATACCCAGTTAACCTGCCATGATTGTGTGAACTCTGGGATAACATGTAAAACTCTGGTCTGGGGTCAAAATCAAAGGATTCTGTTACTCATGAATTACCAACAGGCAGAAAAGCCTTTTGAAGTCTGTCCTGAAGCCTTGGCTCCCACGTCAGTGAGTGGCTGTGATGAAGAGGAGCTCAAGGAAGCCATGCCTCTTCTATGAGGCACATCCTCCCTTAGCTCTGGAACTGATTCTGCTGTACGGGTATCCATTAAGAAGATGCCCTAAAGGATACAGAAGCAGCAGTTTAAGACTCAGGGAGAATGGCCTTCCAAATGGGGTTGTTTGATTGCTTTTGCCTGCCATCTTTGTTCTTACTCCGTTTTAAAGTGAGTGAACTTTTCTTTTTGAATAGGTATGTTTGCATGGTTACAGTGCAGAGACAGAAAATACCCTGTGAAAAGCCCCCTCCCCAGAGATGGCTTGTGTTTCTAACCTCTTTCCAGCAGGGAGTATTTACGTGTGTGTCTGTTTTGCTTTGCTTTTTGTTTTGCATAAAACTCGGGGTCTTATGAATGCTCTCTACTGCTAATCTATGTCCCCATTCATGTTTATGTAGACACATTCATATGTTCTTTCTACATATACTTTACATGACCATTCTGTACATATTCTGAACTTTTATATATGTCTTGTAGTTACGCTCAGTCAAGGTTATATGTACTTTTGCATTCTTTTTTGGGGGGGAGGGGGGTTGTTTTTTTTTTTCCCCCGAGACAGGGTTTCTCTGTGTAGCTTTGTGCCTGTCCTGGATCTTGCTCTGTAGACCAGGCTGGCCTCAAACTCACAGAGATCCGCCTGCCTCTGCCTCCCAAGTGCTGGGATTAAAGCCGTGCGCCACCACTGCCCTACTTTTGCATTCTTGATAATGATCATACGTTGTAGTCCTAGAGGTATTAGAGTTCTTTTCTGGATTTGTTTTCTCTTCTATTGTTGCATTTCTACATGTACAGGCACACACATATACACACAGTGTTAAGAAATTATATTTAAAAAAAGAATACTTTTTCTAAAAATGTGGTCCTCGTCAGCATGAGAATTTCATACACTTAAGGTTATCTAAAATGGTTTTTGGCGTGTGTGTGTGTGTGTGTGTGTGTGTGTGTGTGTGTGTGTGGTTAGTAGTGACAGACCATTAATCATCTCAGTATAACCTGCCCCATGCCAAGTCCAATACTAATAGTCAAAGTGTTAGTCATGTCTTGCCACTGCTTTATGAGGTAGATGCCACCGTCAAATGTTCCTAAATAAACTACAAGTTTAGAATCAAACCTGAAGCTCTCTAAGCTATATACATGTGGTAGTTTGTTTTAATGGGCTTGGGATGGGATTTTTGTTTCTGCATTCAAATTTATTGCCATTTTGAACCTACCTTTATGCATTATTATAATTTTAAAAGTACACAGTAATAAATTAAGCTTGAAAATCCTGTAGAAATAATAGATTTTTGTTTTTTCAGTAACTGATTTTCCCCTCTGTAGTAGTGATTCGGAACAAATGAACAACTAGAACCTAAGCGAAGTATGTTTTCTGTAGAGTGGAAAGGTCTTGTGCGCTTTTGTTTTGTTTTTGTTTTATTTGTTTGAGATAGGTTCTCACTGCCTATCCCTGGGCATCCCTGACTGACGTGGTACTCACCGTGTAGACCAGTGAGGCTCAGACTCAGA